TTGTCTACAGCAGTCAGTCCTTGGCGGCACTAATGATTCGGTAACACCAGCAGGGCAGAGGAATTGCTTATTTTGTCTCTTAGGCGTCGTACTTTGTAACCATTTTTCAACGAAGCTTTACCCTCGCGCTTGGAACTTATTGTAGTCCTTATTTTTTTCCCTAGCACTTGTCTATGAGTATTAAAGATAGCTTAAGACAACCCATTCACTGCACCAGTTTACTGACATTTTTGTCTTTGGAGAGGCACCTGATGAAAAGGATGCCTATAGGTTAAGGTGAGCCCGTCTTATAAATGAGGTCTTTGACTTCCACTTTCAGGAGTCCTAGTAGTCGAGGATTTTCTCATTAATCAAATCCTCACTGAAAACAAAAATACAAGTTTGACTTGTTTGCTTGTTTGTAGTCGGAAAACGGGCTGCTCTTTCCTTGGATTCTTCTATGGCCGTGCAACAGCAGGCCTACCAAACCGCCATGTCCACGACAGAGGCACCACCGGTTGATCGGTTACCTAGCCGCAACCCCATGCTGCCATCCCAGATGTCTAACTCTAATTCTCCTTTTCTTAATATTAGCAAGTAAGTTCAGATGTGCATGCCCTATAGTGCTCTTCTTACCTGACTTTTGATACTTTGGCAACGATAAAATATGCAAGTAGTATAAAATACCTACTTATTTGATTTAAGTAGGCATGCTTTATCAGTGTTGTGTTTTCTTGGCAGTTAACCACTCCCCTTTGCCGAGGAAAATTGCCTGCTTGTGCGCTAATTACGGGCCGTTACCTGCTGACATTTAATTACTCGTACTGGATGTTGGCGTGATGATTGCTCGACCATTTTGCTCACTGGCACTAACCTTGCAATCTGTTTTGGCCCGTGTGCTTCCCAATTGTCGAATTGGTTTGACCAGATTGAACCTCAGCACCGGATACGTGTTTAATAACCTCGGAGCCCATAGGATATGACTCAAGCAACTCACAGTCCATGACAATTTCGGTCTCACAAATTTCACTTTGTGGCCGGAATCGAATATTCTTCTTCTCAATTACTTATCCGGACTCGTATGTTCGCTTTTATTGCAGCCTTTGCCGAACTTCGATCTGCCTGACGCAATAATGCTAGGTTAGAAGTGAAGTTGGAAAACATATGTTTTCAGCAAATCGTCGTCAGGCCAAACAAATTGCAGGGGTAATGAAAACGGTACAGTTGGGCCGGGTTTATAAGGTTAGTCTGATTACAATTAACCGTTTA